GCCGAGCGATGCTGCTGCTGGCCGCCGCCTTCCTCGTGGCCTTCGTGCTGCTGCTGTACATGGTGTCTCCGCTCATCAGCCCCAAGCCCCTCGCCCTGCCCGGCGCGCATGTGGTGGTGAGTGGCCTCCTGTTGCTGCGCCCCGACCTCCGGCCGGCGACTGACGCCAGGCCGCTGACGGCCCTTCCCCAGGCCTTGGCCCCCAGGAAGCGACGGCCCAGGGGAGGGTCACCTGCAGCCCTTCTCCCCGGCACTGTCCCTTCAGGCCGGGCGTCCGGCCTTGGGGATCCGCCTCCGCTGCACCTGGCTCCTCCTGAAGCCGGAGGGCGGTGCGACTGGGGACAGCGCCAGCCAGCGGGTTCCTGGAGCGCCAGGGGCTCGGTAACTGCTGGTTAATCCCCGGAGCATCCCCAGGATGTGGATATTTTTGTCCCCAGTTTTCCTGATGAGTCAACTCAGAAACAGAGAGGCTGAGAAACTTTGCCAAGGGCACAGCGGTCGGTGGCGCGCAGCGGGCTGGGACAGGCGCTACCTGCGGGGTGGGCAGGGGCCGAGCTCAGGGAAGAGGCGTCCCAGCCGCCAGGACCCTCCGGGGCAAGGAGAAACGGGAAGGTGGCCAGTGCGAGTGGCAGGAAGAGCAGCTGCCAAAGGCTTCCAGGAAGTGGCTCACCTGGAGCACACTGTTCAGAGCAGGGGGCTGGCGTTCGGGCTAGCGGTGTTGGGACGCTTCTGTCCCGCCTCTACCGCTGGCCTCTGGCTCAGCCCGGACTCGGCAGATGGCCGTGCTCCTCTGCGAGCCTTTGCCGTATTTCAGAGTCGGAAGAGTGAGCTCAACGACTTGGCCAGGGCTTTAGGAACGAAGGAAAAGTGGACGGACTCGGTTGCTTTCTTACTGGAAGCTCGCGAATTCAAGGATCCTCCAAGTGGCGGCACCTTCCTTGAACCAAAAGAAAACGCCTCCTTCCTGCGCCCAGCACGTTGCGGGCTCCAGGGGCTTTCTCATCGGCTTTCATATTTGGGTTTCCCAAACCGTAGGCACACAGAGGCGGAGTTGTAAATCGGGAGGGTTAGTTACCAAGCTGGCAGCAAAAGTCTTGGGGCCAGAGGTGACCTGTCTTGGCTGCAACCCAAGCCCCAACCCCACTGAGCAGTCAGGATGGATGACTTTTTTAGGGTGCTTTAATGTAGACAAGAGTTTGCAAATGAGAACAGGGTAGTTACTTTCTCCTTTGTAAAACTCAGCTTATGTTCAACTCTGGCTGTTCCTGATGCGTGAGGTAGGTGAGGTGAGGAGTTGAGTGTAGATCCATTTAAAAAGGGGGGAGAGGGAGAAAAAAGCAGAACTTTCCAGTCAAGGTGATTTCTGAAAGCTTCACACCTGCAAGAGAAGTTTCTCCTCAGAGACATGGCTTTAAAAGTTGGATTCTTTGAAAACTTGTGCTCACAGAGCATAACTTGAAAAAAGGCAAAGCCAAAACAATGTAAATTTTGATTCAATATTTTTAAGAGTTTCGCGTAAATCTTGTCTGGTCCTTTTTTTCCACATCAAGCTGCCGGTCAGAGGTAAGATAATAAACACCAGGTGGGGCAGCTCCATGGCAGTCGGCTCCCACATGGCTGGCTGCCCTGTTCAGGTCCACACCAGATACCTTGCATGTGTGCCCCAAATCCCCACAGGGTGGAGAAATGGAGGAGAAGAGGTTACAGCATGGCCATGCCCCAGCAGGGGTGCGTTGTTTGTCACTCCAGCAAACACAGGCACCTCTGACAAAAGAAATACGTAAACAAATAAATAAAATAAAAACTAAATAAATGAACACTAAGAACTTATTTCCTCCACCACGCTTTAATACACCACTATAAATAATGTGAGAATGACATGAATAATTCACATGATGTCACCATCTGTCTTTTTTAATGTCATAAGAATGATCGTGTAATTCTTTTTCTTGAGGTTTGTTACGACTAGACCAGGTGGTGTTAGGAGAGTGAGTTAATCTTTAGTGTGCCTATCTGCGTGAACGCTGAACAGACTTAGAACTAGTTATTGTTTCATTTATAGAGCAGTTCTCTTCTATCGGTGTTACTGCCCTACTTAAGGTAATAAAACTGCAGGCAGTCTCACACCAAACATACCTATTTAAAGGCCCCCTTTTTGGGAATGACTGGGGGCAGATATTGCAGGGGACCATTGTATTGCTTTAATAAGAGGTATATATTGTGATTAAAGGGACAGTGACAAGTAAACAATATCTGCAGTTAACCTAAGAGGGAATGACTAAGAAAGGAAATTATTATTAGAGTGTAATCGTTAATACCCCCCATCTAGGCTGAATTTGGCAACTGTTAGGCAACTCAGTATACGTGGATTAACCTCAGCCTTTGTGCAAATCCCTTATTTATTTTTTTTGTAATGTTCCGAATAACATAGGCCAATTGGCATAGTGTATTCTTAGATATTTCTTACAAATTAGCTGGTTTAACTAGAAGGATAGTTTCCTATGAACAGGGACCCAAAAGCTGAAGTCTTACTTCTGTTATGGAGAGATCTTTTAAGTGAGCGGACTTAAACCTTGTTTTGCTTTGCGTAAAATTCACACAGCTATTACGGACACAAAGGATAGCAGTAATAAAAGCTAACTGCGTAGCACTTCAGAGCGTATCGATTTTCTCAAAAACCTCAGAACTTCTACTTCCATTAGTTCACTGGAAATTTTCTTCACATTGCTTTTCTTGCCATTGTGTTTTTCAGAAAAGTGGCATCATACACCATTTGCAGATAAGGCAGACAGGTGTTTATTTAGCAGCTGCTGATGCGGTACTGTGCTGGGCCTGTGCGAGACCGAGCGGACTTGGTCCTGCAGGAGCTGATTATCTGGCAGGGAGCTAAGACTTCCCTCTAAGTAACGGACAAGGTGGATGGCCACAGGTGAAGAGCAGCTCTCCGTTACAGAGTCAGGAAAGTCCTCCTGCGGGAGGGAGGTTTGAAGGGCCCACTGCAACATAGGTGTTTGGAAATGCAGGTGTGTGAGGGATGCGGGGTGGAGGGACACCTGAGCAGTAGGGCAGTCTGATCACACAGGGACATTTGTAGAGATCCTGCTGGTTATGGAATTGGAACATCTGGTGAAAGGTAATAACCCTTAACAAGCCATGACATATCTGATAGCAGCCCCTTGGAAGGTAACTCTAGCCTAAGCAATACGTTTTTACAGTCAGCTGTATGTAACGGGGAAATTATCCAGCAAAGACATCTCTTCCATGGTGGCAAGTTGAGGCCAAAGAGAAGTTGAGAGATGCCTAGGAGTCACATGGAGATAGGAACATTTGTGTGAGAGCGGCTTCTTGAAGGTTTTAAGCTCATGGGCAGGATCAGAGATGTTCCTTATAGTGTGTTGTATACAGAATAATGAAATATTCATAAATAATCAAGATGTATAGGGAAATGACTAAGGTTTTAAAATTTTAAATTGTATTTATTATCATTACTATTATTATTGTGACCAGAGAGAGACATGGGGGAGATGGAGTGAGAAAAGCAGCCAGGTCCAAGCTCGAACTGTGGTCAGCCATGTTGGAGTCCAGGGCTTCAACCGCCAGACCACCTGCTGGACCCTGGAAATGACCAGGTTTTGACATAGCTATTTAGTCAGGCTTGTGAAGCCGTGTAGTTTTCCAAAAGATAACTTTTTAAACAGTTTGTCAGAGAGCATGTACGCTCACCAGAGAGAGGAGAAAACAGCCCCTGAGGGGGCATGGCCATGCCGTAATCCCTTCTCCATTTCTCCCCTCTGCTAGGATTCTGGACTAGTGCACAGACTGCCCAACGTGGCTTCCCAGCTGCTGGGGCCAGGACTCCAGTCACACAGTCAGCCTTGTAGGTTCTGGCTCCCTTAACCACCAGACCGTGGGACTAGCCCAACAGTACAATTTGTTTTTTCAAGCAGGATAGGATTCCATAGAATATTATCTAATTTGTATAGGAAAAATGGCTAGAAAACTATAATGTCACATTTGTCTTATTAAATAAATATATATTGAATCTTTCCTAAGTGCCAGGAATTTACTGGGTTCTCAGAGAAGTCATGACATATTTTTCTATGAAAAACTGCGTCATGACTTTTCTGACGACCCAAAAGTGAGGAGCAAAAATAGAATTGATCATTTTATAGAGTTTATGTGCAGGGACCAGCTGAGAGGGATGGTTGTGAGTCAAATAATTACATGAACAAAGGCATGACTGATTAATTATGTAAGTGTAAAAAAACGAAAAGAAGGGTTGAGTGGGAGCGAAGGCAGTAAAACCCTCCTGAGGAAGTGGGGTTTGAGCTGAGATTTGATGGGCGACTAGGTACCAGCTAGATGCAAAGGGGAGGACAGCATTCCTGGTGTGGAGAACAACGAGCAAAGGCCCTGAGGTTGAGGGGGCTTAGCACTGAAAGCCAGTCTGTGTGACTGAGCCTCAGATAGTGAGAGGTAGAATAGTGTAAGAAGAAAAGCGTTCCTTTTTAATATTTACTGGTGATTATTTATTACTGTGGTAGGAACTAGTTATTTAAAATATCATAAGATATATTCAGGTAGTCACCCTTTTAATCTGTGGTCGAGCTAGTAAGGAAGTTTTGCATAGATGAGTAGTAAGGAAGTCAGATTCGTCTGGACTTGGAATCAGAGGTAGACCATTGTGTCTATATATACATAATACATATATGTATTTGATATTTTTGCTATAGGGTACGTGAGCTTGTTGGAGAGACGAGAGAGACAGGCAGAAAATGAGAAATCACCCCACAGGGAGGATGGCTATTTCTTTTCCTCCGTTCTTCTCTTGGGATTTTGGGCATGCACACACATGTGCCCGGCATGAGTTTTGTAAGCCACGGGATTGGGGACTCTAACCACAGTCAACTTTGTGGGCGGGCATCCAGCAATGTGACCATTACATCATCTGCTGGTCCCTGCACTAATGTATTATTATTCACTAGATTTATAGGGCACTCTTTTCCCAGTGAAATCAGAAAAATATTACAGGTTTGCATTTGTAGGTTAGTACCCCACACTGTCAAAGCAGCAGGCCTTGCTGACAGCTTCACCTTTTTTGTGCTTGAACTTACTCCATCATTTGGTGTGGTTTGAAAAAGCACCAAACGCTTAACACTCAGCTCGTGTAGATTCATGTTTCGAACCCATAAACTTCCTACGGAGGGGAAGTTTCTCGAGCTGAGAAGGTGTTACTGTCCTTTGCAGGTGACAGGAGGTTCCAGCGGCATTGGAAAGTGTGTTGCTATCGAGTGCTACAAACAAGGAGCCTTTATAACTCTGGTTGCACGAAACGAGGTAGGTCCACCTGGTTCATTATTATTAACCAACTTACTCAACTCGGCATCCATTGAGGAGGCGAGACTAGCCTTCTGTTAGCATCATCACACTTGTGCTGCGCTGTGCTTGCTTCCCAGTTGCTGGTGCGATTCCTGAACTACTGGTTCTTATATGTATACCAACGACTTCTCAGTTGAAGCCAGGTCGGCTCAAAAAAAAGCATTTAGTGCTGAGGACCAGCAGATGGTAAAATGATTATGTCACTGGACTCCCGTGTAGTTGGCCACAGTTTAAGTCCCGGACCCAGCAACTTAAAAACTCACTCTGGGCACATGTGCTTGCATGCCAAAATCCTAAGAGGAAAATGGAGAAGAAGGGATTGTGGCGGGCCATCCCGCCCCCCACCCAGGGGATGATTTCTTGCTTTTCTTCTCTCTGTGTGTCTCCCATGAGCATGTGCGCACTATAGCAAAAATCTCTCTTAAAAACAAAAGAAATGTAGTGCCAACCCTACTATAGATCTGCAGATCTTGAGATGGGAGATGTTGAGACTTGGTTAGGTAGCACACTCAGCCCTGGGAAGCCAGGGAGGCCCCACATCAGCCCACGGGTGCCGGCAGCAGCGATTCTGAAGCTGATACCTGAAGGTATTTCATCATCATTTTTCTCTGTAATTTGCTTATGATATGATCTGCATCTCTGGTGAAATCCATATACCACAGAGGAATCTCATTCTTCCCTGAAAGTTTAGCAAAGCATGTTTTTCTGTATCAAGCTAACACAGGGCCTGTTTCTTTTTCTTTTTTTTTTTAGGATATGTGATCCCTTTTTGTTTTTTTTTTTTGTTGTTGTTGTTTAGGTTTTTGCTATAGGGCACATCTGTCCACCAGAGAGAGACAGTGAGAAGGAAAATGAGAAGTCACCCCCCAGGGAGGAGGCCCACGCTACATTCTCCTACATTCTCCTCCCAGGATTTTGGGCACACATGCACACGTGTCTGGCATGATTCTCCAGCCACTGGATCTGAGATTCGAACTGGGGTCAGCCATATGGGAGTCTAGCATCTTTACCACCATGCTATCTGCTGGCCCCCAGAATCTGTTATTCTTGCCAGAGTCAGTTCCAGAGCTCAGAGTAGTGATGCCATGTGCTCATGATGTCATGAAGTCCTGCCCCTGACACAGGGGCTGGCTTTATCTAAACTGCTTCCGTTGCTGCCGTAGGGCTTGGCACACATGGGTGCTCGACAGATTTATTGAATGAAAAAATAAAAGAGGAAGTGATGGAGAGATGGAAGTGCCAGTGTGGCATCGTTTCTTAGGGATGGACAGCTGAACCTGGCCCAGTGGAATGACGGATCAGGACGGGCTTCTTGGGAAGTGTTTAAATAATGACACAGAATTAGGCTTGGGCATCATATTGTTTTGTTTTGTTTTTAAATAATAATGGCAGAATAAGCTACCTGTCTTTCTTCTAGTTTTCTTTAGTTTTTGCTTTCGGGTACGTGCACTCATTGGGGAGAGGCAGAGAAAGTGAAAGGGAAAGTGACAAATCATCCCCCGGAGGGATGGCCACACCACGATCCCTTCTCCTTTCAGGATTTTGGGCATACACACACATGCCCCCAGCATGATTTTCAAGTTACTGCGCCTGGAACTTGAATCGCACAGTCAGCCCTGTGGGATCCGGTGCCTCAATTGCCATGCCACCTGTTGGTCCACTGCCTGTCTTTTTTTTTTTTAAGTTTTTATTGTTTCTTTTTCTCATTAACAAAAGAGACAGAGAGATAGCACCCTCAGTAGGGTCTGGATGACATGATCCACCCTCAACTTCAGCCAACCCACCATCGTGGGCACCTGTGTGCACATTGTCCTTAGCGGGTCTCTGGACATGGCTCAGAACATTCGCTCGTAGGTCAGCCTCGCAAAGCATCGCGCTTCACTGCTCGAGTCACCGTATGGCCTCTCCGTCTTTTATTTATACTTTGACATCTTTCATGATGAATTTGCCTTTTGGCACTGAAGCTACTTACAGGAATGAAAACACAAATTTAATAAAGTGGCATTTTGTGAGTTTTTAACACTGCCAGTATTTGGCACAAGGTAAATGAAAAAGGAGGCCTGGTGCTCAGAAGCTCATCCAGGACCTCGGATTGCCAAAGGTGAAAGCACAGAAGAATCTTCTTGCGTTGAGAAATTCTTTATTTTCTGGGGTAATGTCTCACTGCAGTCTGGGGAAGTCAAGTTGTATGTGTCTTCATTCATAGAACAGTGTTATTTTCTTAGAGACACATTCATGCTTCAGTATCCCACATGTCCTGTGGAAGAATTGTCCTCCCCTTTTGTTGTTCTCTAGTTCTCATGATTTAGTTAAGTTACTTTTGTAGCAAATTAAGAGCCGGTAAACCGGTAATTATCTTCATAGAAACAAGTAAAACAAACAACATCGAGTCTTTGCAAGAACTAATTACATGGGTAGCTTAGCTTGTCTTCCAGATTCATGTTTACCCAGTCCATCTAAAAAGTGATTTTTTATGATATTTACTTTTGTAATAAAGGTGGAAAATACTAGATGCTAGTTTACGAAGGCACTCTTGACTTGGAACCTCATGCTTCTCTTAGCATTGGGAACTATCGTTTGTTAGTATGGTTGCTTGTTTTATGTCACAACGAAATGATAACAGATCAAAGCATCTATTAGAATTGATAGGATGGGGACCAGCAATTAGCGTAATGGCTATGTCGCTGAACTCCCACTAGTCGACAGCGGTTCGAGTCTGGACGCAGTGGCTTAAACTCACTCCGGGCGCGCGTGCATGCGTGCCCAAGATCCCGAGAGAAGAATGGAGGAGACAGGATTGCGGCGTGGCTATCCCCCCCTCCCCGGGGGGGTGATTTCTCGCTTCCTGTCTCTCTGTCTCTGTCATTTTGGCGAGCGCACGCACCTTATAGCAAAAACCTCTCCCAAAAAAAGAAAAGAAAAAAAAAAAGACTTGATAAGATGAGCATCGGCAATTAATACTGTCAATTTAGACTGTGAGAAATATTTATTTTTCTATAATCTTTCTCTGTAGTCAGTTTAAAACTTGCTGTCACTTATTTGGAGATTAATGAACTTTATAGTTTCTTTCTTTCATAGACTAGGGCGCACAGCTATGCAATATAGGAGCTATTCCGTGTCTTTTCTAGAATTTAATAAATATTGATACGAGTAATGGCTTCTTTCTCCTCTTCAGTAAGTAGACAGACATAGAAACAAAACTAAAGTAACCGTTCTGTATTGCTTTCAGGACAAGTTGCTGCAAGCAAAGAAAGAAATCGAAAAGTATGCTATTAATGACAAACAGGTAAATCACTGTCTTCAAGATATATTTTCTGTATAATCAACATAACTATATAAAAGAAAAAAAAGATCGAATCAACTATGAATAGTTTATCAAAGCAGGTATAATTCTCTAATTAAAATACATACTTGACTGGTTTTAAAATGGTGGAATTGTTTAAGGCCAGGCTTGGTGGCTGGCATCTGTACCCTGTCTACTTGGGTGGCTGAGGACGGAGGCTTGGGATCTGGAGGTCGGCCTGGTCAACTCAGTGAGACAGTATCTCTTTAAAAAAAAAAAAGTGAGAAGGTGAAATTCTTTGAGTTTTCTTGGAATTCAGGTTATTACCAAAAAATGTATAGGCTCTCACACACGTCCACGTCCACAAATGATCGAATAGCAAAATGTTTTAATAGGAAATTTCACGTCACTTATTTATTTTAATGAATTTTAAACAAATGCTTGAGAAAAGGGTGTTTGAATTTTTAGTTATGGATGTTTGGGATTAATAAAAGGGTAAATGTAAATAATATGTATTTCAGCATAAAACCTAATAAATTAATAACCACAGGGACCAGCAGATGGCATAATGTTTATACCACTGGACTCCCACATAGTCAACTGCAGTCCGAGACCCAGAAGCTTCAAACTCACACCAGGCGTGTGTGCATGCATGCCCAAGATCCTAAGAGGAGAATGGAGGAAAAGGGATTTCGGCGTGGCCATCCCTCCTGGGGAGTGATTTCTCACTTTCTATCTCTCTGTCTCTGTGTCTCTGGCAAGTGCACACACGCTATAGCAAAAAAAATCTCTATCCCCCCAAAATCCATAACCACATACCCATCATCCCAAATTCTAATTCTTAAGAAATAGAATTTAGGAGGGCTCCCTGAAGCCCTTCTGTGACCTGCATTTGTCTTCTCTGTCTTGTCTCATTCCTGATGGAACCTCCCACCTAATTTTTGTATTGCTCCTTCCTTGACTTTTCTTTTTAATTTTTAGAATTATTTATTTATTATATTTAAAAATTATTATTATTGGGGTTTTTTTTGTTTTTTTGGAGAGGTTTTCGCTAGAGGGCGCATGCACTCGGCGGACAGACAGAGACAGAGAGACAGAAAGTGATAAATCACCCCCCAGAGGGGATGGTCACGCCGCAATTCCTTCTCCTCCATTCTCCTCTCAGGATCTTAGGCACGCACGCACACGCGCCTGGCGTGAATTTTAAGCCACCAGGTCCGGGACGCGAACCACAGTTGACTACGTGGGAGTCCAGCAACATAGCCATTATGCTAACTGCTGGTTCCCTGTATTTTTTTTTTTTAAATCTTGCTATAGAGCACATGTACTCAGCAGAAAAAGGGAGAGAGGGAAAGTGAGAAAGCAAGCTGCCGGCTCCAGGACTTGAACCATGGTTGGCCATGAGGGAGTCCAGCACCCCAACCATCACACCACCGGCCATGCCCTCCTTGGCTTTTTTTTAATATAATTTTTTCATCTATGGTAAAATGCATGTGACCCTAAGTGGTATATTTAATTCTACTTCTCTTCATACTTTAAGGTATCTTTCTTATTTTTCTAACAGTTCTATTGAGACATGATTTGCACCCCAAGAAGTGAGCTATTTAAAGTATATAGTACAGTGGTTTTTAGTATATTCGCAGTTGCACAACTCTCAACAGAATTCATTTTAGAACATTTCTGTCCCTGCCCTCCCCTTGAAGAAGTTCGTACTCATCAGCACTCACTCCCCAATTCCCCCCAACCTCTTCCCAGCCCCAGGCAGGCACTGGTCCACTTTCTATTTCTGTAATACTATTCTTGTGTAACTTGATTTCTTCACAGTGCCATTTGAACAGTCCATCCATGTTGTTGCATAGACTTCAGCCCCTCCTTGCTTTATTGTACTCAGTTGTACATGTATTTAGAGTACCTTTCGTTTACAGTTCCCTGGTGGGGGACCAGCAGTTGGTGTAGTGGCTATGTCACTGGACTCCCATGTAGTCAACCATGGTTCAAGTCCAGACCCGGTGACTTAAACTCACAGCAGGCATGTGCATGTGCAGGCCCAAGACCCTGAGAGGAGAATGGAGGAGAAAGGATTGCGGCATGGCCATTCCCCCTGGGGAGTGATTTCTTGCTTTCTGTCTCTCTGTCTCTCTCTGTCTTTCTGGCGAGGGCATTTTCCCTATAGCAAAAGCCTCAAAAACAAAAAGAAAAACAAACAAAACAAAGAAGTTCCTTGTAGGTGGCTCTTCAGGTGGTTTCAGGTTTTTTTGTTAAACCATCTTGTTTTCGTCTGCCGCACAAGTTTTCTACTATGCCTCCTGGTGCACGTGTGCAAGAATGATATACCCCAGAAATGGAATTGCTGAGCTGCAGCAGGCCGGCATCTTCAACCTCACCAAAGTGCTTATACTCCCACCGAGAGGGTGTGGTGGTTCCTGTTGTTCTCCATCTTCACCAATACTTGTTATATTAGCACACTTACATTTTTGCCTGTCAGGGATTTTTTTTTCCATGATAAAGCATGTGCATGCACATGTGAAAGCCTGTTGCATCTTGGGGCCTTTGGTGTGTGCCCGGCATGTGTCAGGCTGACCAGGCCTTCGTGTGGGACCTGGCTTCTCCTGGGCAGCAGCTTTACAGCTGCACCTCAGAGCTGGCCTTGGCTTTTTCATTTCTGTCTTTCTGATGGGTTTTAAATAATATTCACTGTTGTTTTACTTCCCTTTTGCTTCCCCTCCAAAATATGTTAGAGATTTTTCTATGTCAATAAAAATAATTTTTCTTCACTGTTTTAAATTGCTGCAGCGTATATTGGTCACATCATAGTAATCAGTTCTCCGCTGAGCTGTGCCTGTTCCTTTACAGCCAGTGCAGTCAGTGCTGTAGGTGAAAATCCTTGTCCATAGCTCCTTGTACATATGTGCAGATTTTTCTCTTGGACTGTGGCCTCTGCCTGTATATCATCCTTTTTTTCATTGCCAGTGGGCACATGTCTTCTCCAGAAAAGAGAGGGGGAGAACTCCCTTGTGGGGCGTGGTCATGGGATTCTGGACATGCATGCACATGTGCCCAGCATGTTTTTCAACCCCTGGGGCCGGGATTCAAACTGTTGTTGGCCGCTTGGAACTTGGCTGCCTTAACCACGAGGCTATGGGGCAGCCAGCCTGTACCCCATGCTAATAAGTCCGCAGACATTGGAAGGATGCCAGCTCTGCACACCCCCTCACTCTTTTTTTTTGGTATTTATATGAGTGCTCATAGAGCAGGGAGTGTCCAGGTCCCTGGAGTTTCAGTGCTGGCAGCTAAAGGCGTCTTGACTGGTGCCAGCGCTGTCTCTGTTCTGGAATCTTTCATCAGCCTTGGGACTGTCCTCACCTATCAAAGGACTTTAGGTCACGTGGAAAATTCTTGTCTTTCACATCCAGGATGGGAGGTAGTCAGGGCTGTGGTGGGCAAGGGTGAGCTTGACCCTTCTTTCCTACAGATCGGGGTTGTTGCTTCCCATTTCATTTTTTTCCTGGTAATTTAACATTTTTCTTTAAAATTTCACTTGTCTTTGATAATGATTTTATTTACAGTAAGTGATCTAATATTGCTTAAAAGTATAAAAAGGCATGTTTAAAAACTAATCATACAGTTCCTTCTTCCTTAAAACAAAACCTATTCTGTATGATGATGTGGGTGTGTGATAGCCCAGGGCAACTTGGTCTGGAATGTTCCAGGTGGTGTTTTCAAGGCAGTTGGTTTTTGTTTTTGTTTTTGGAGGAACTTAGATCATTTCCATCAGGTCTTTTTTTTTTTTTTTTTTTAATAATATTTTATTTAGTTTTACATTTTCTCACCAACATTTACTTTACACATCAAAAAATTTTTGATCATAGTCCATAGTTCTTGACAGATAATAAACGACTATCAAAATTTTCAAAATACTGAATTTTAAAATAATGTTCAAAATATCTGTTATAACTTTGTGATTCTGTAACAACAGAAACAGTATGGTTTTAAATATTTTTGAGGAAGTATTTACATGTCAACTACTCAAACTATTGAGTGCTCTATGAGCACTCATATAAATACCAAAAAAAAAAGAAAAAAAGAGTGAGGGGTGTGCAGAGCTGGCATCCTTCCAATGTTTGCGGACTTATTAGCATGGGGTACAGGCTGGCTGCCCCATAGCCTCGTGGTTAAGGCAGCCAAATTCCAAGCGGCCAACAACAGTTTGAATCCCAGCCCCAGGGGTTGAAAAACATGCTGGGCACATGTGCATGCATGTCCAGAATCCCATGACCACGCCCCACAGGGAGTTCTACCCAGCACACAATTCAGACATGAACCTTCTCAAATCAGCCCTGCCTACCAAGAATTCTTTGATACACCATCTGCTAGCAAAGATCAGTCTCTTTTTCTTCCTTCAAAGTCTTCCTCAAGATAATCTTCTAGTTGTGGCTCTCTTTTGCAGTCTACTTAGTACAATGCTGGGCTGGAAAAGTCCAGTTTATGATACGAATTCTTTCATAGAGCTTCTCTAATCCTCTCTGCCAGGCAGAACTGTTTATGGTGCCAGGCCATCTTTCCAAGAGCTTCTGTTGGCTTACTTGAGATCCACCTCAGTTCCATAGTTTTCTGGTTTGATCTTCAGATGACATTCTAGTCAAAGCCTTGTCCCATCACAAGTATTTCCAATTTCTGATTCAAGGCAACAGGTATTACTGAACTTATACCAATAACCATTCTGCCACCAAGTAAGAATACTCCCAAATATTTTCCAATTCTAGAGGGGTCAGGAAGGGAATTCCATTTAAAGAAACAAGCAAGAAGAAAAAACATTTAAACAAATTCCTAAACCTATCAACAGCTCAAAAGAAAACAAAATCCTTAAATTGGGAAAACAAAGCATAGTAAAGAAAAAGACAGTAATGTTTTACCCAAAAGCCATAAAATTCTGCTTCACCATCTCAGTCATAGGTAATTAATCTTTCTTCTGTTGACTATGCAGCATTAATGTGGTCCAATCTTTCCATTTAAATCCTGGAAGTTAACATTCGACTTTATTATTGATATTTCTTGTCCCTAGCATTAAGTTGGTCATTTTTTGGGTTGCTTTTTTTGTTCTCTTCTTTCTGTCTGTGTGTCTTCAATTTTCCTGGTAAAGCACTCCTTGCAGAACTTCTTGAAGAGCTGGTCTGGTGTTGGTAAATTCTTTCAGGTTTTATTTATCTGAGAATGTTTTTATCTTTTCTTCCCATATGAAGGATAATCTTGCTGAGTATAGTATTCTTGGTTGAAACGGTTTATCACTTTGAGTATATTTTCCCATTCTTGCCTTACTGGCATTGTTTCTGATGAGTGGTCCGATATTAGCCTGATGGGATAACCTTTATAAGTAACCGGATGCTTCTGTCTTGCCAATTCTAGTATCTTGTCTTCCTCTGTGCATTTGGCCAATCTGACTATGATGTGCCTTAGAGAAGATCTTCTTGGGTTGATTCTATTAGAGGTCCTTTGTATTTTGTGGGTCTGGATATTTGAGTGCCTCTCTAAATTTGGAAAGTTTTCTTCCAGGATGTCATGGAATAGATTTATCAATGCCCTTATTAGTTTCTTCACCTTCTGGGATACCTTTTATCCAGATGTTTGAGCACTTAATGGTATGTAGTATTTCTCGTATGGTATTCTCGGTTTTTTTGAGTTATTTTCTCAGCTTCTTTGGTTGTTTTTTTCTAGATCAGAGGTTTTGCCTTCACATTGAAATTTCTGCATGGACTAATCTGCTTTTAATACTTTCAAGGGAGGTTTTGATTTCCTGTATTGCAGCCTTCATCTCTAACAGCTCCATTTGATTCTTTCGTATGGTGTTTATTTCCTCTTTCAGATTGTGCAAGAACTTCCTCACCTGGAACTCATTGTCTCTTTTCTCCTGTATCTTCTGGAGTTCATTGTCTCTCAGCTCTTGCATCTCGTTTAGTTTTGTCACTATGAATATTCTGAATTCTCTATCCAACATTTCCACGAGTTCCTCTGTACTGTCTGTGAATGATGAAGGATATTCCTTTCACTTAAGGGAGAGATATTTTCTTGGTTTCTCATATTTCTTGTGCCTCTTTGGTGGTTTCTGGTCATTCTGTGATAAAATCTCTACTGTGGTTTGCAACGTCGTATCCACAGAAAGAGATTATGAGTTCAATTTTTTTTTTAAGAATTATTTTTTGTTTAATTTTATTCATTGTCATTTTTTTATTTATTGTTTTGAAGTTGACCAGAGAGAGAGAGAGAGAGAAGGAAAGCAAGCTGCCAGGTCCAGGACTTAAACCATGGTCAGCCATGTGGGAATCCATCCACCTTAACCACCATGCCACCTGCCAGCTCGAGTTCAGATTTTTAAAAAGAAGTTTCTTCCTTTAAAGCAGGAGGTTCAATAAGTGTTGAGGATTTCAATGACCCTTGGCTGAGTGTTTCGGGGGTTTAGAAGATGAGGCTTAGAGTATAGCTTTAATCGCCTTAGTGCCTAATCACGTCAGGACACATCTCAAATTTAAAAATCTATCAGGTCCTTTTTGCATGAAATAAAACTTCCTTCCTAGTGTATCAAACCCTAAGGGTATGAGTCTCCTTTATTGAGTGGGGGAGAATCTTAGTCACCACTAGCTTCTGATGTCCTCATTTCCACTGCAGCCTTCTCTGCCTCTGCCCACCTGAGACACAGGGAGCAGGTTTGGAGCCCAGGCTGCCCAAGAACCTATCTGTTCTTTCCCACACTGCACGCTGCCCTTGGGCTTGGCTGTCCACACATGCACGCTGGCCTGTGTGGATGTGCTTCCCCCACATGCACCCTGTCTCCCCCCACTGGCCTGGCAGCCCAGCTGAGGAATCTTTGCGCTTCAGCAGCCTCTTTTAGGACATAAAGCAGCCCTCTGTTGGAGGGCTAAGCTCCGAATTTGAAAACACTACCCTAGAAGGAAAGTTAAAACAGTAGTTCATGGTTCAGCCCTCTGGGGGCTCTGGACTTCCATTTCATGAATGTCTATCAAATCAAGCACCGATGCAGATGTATGCGCCCCCTCCCCGTTTTTTCCCCCTTCTTTCCTTCCTTTTTTTTTTTTTTTTAAGTCCAAATGACTTGTTTTCTGTGGTGAGCACAGGCTGAGGGCTTCCCCACCATCACTCTGTGCTGTGACCCTCTGTACCTGACCAGGTTTGTACTGGGTGGCTCTGGGGGATCTCCATTGGTAAACCTTGTTTGGGGAATCGGTGAGTGGCTTCTTCAATTTCAGAGCCAGGGATCTTGGGCAAACCCCAGAGTGAGCCAAACGTGACTTGGCTTCCAGCCCAGGTCTGGTAGTTCACAACTGACTCCCTCTCTTCCTTGCCATGATCCACTTGGGTTGTTTACCTGACTCTGTCTCTGGTCGTGGGTCCAACTAAGGGGACTTCTGAGAGGTGGTGTTTGCTTATCTCTTTGTTAACCTACTAGTACTAAATCCTACTAGGATACTCAGAGCCCTGATCCTGCTTCAAAGGGTATATTTTTAAAAACATACATACTAGGGGCCAGCAGGTGGATTGATGGTTAAGGTGCTGGACTCCTACATGACCAACTGCGGGTTGAGCCCCAGGCATGATGGCTTACTTTCTTACTTTCCTTCTATCTGTCTCTGGTAAGCACGTACGCCATATCGTAAATAAATAATAATAATAATAGCACAACATTTAAAAAAGCAACTTATGTATTAAATGTATTGTTATTCTTTTTAAGCAACCTTATTAAGATATAATGTATGTACAATAAGTCACAGCTCTTTAGGGTATGTTGCTCAGCGGCTTTCAGTAGATATATATAGTTGTGAAACACCACCAGGATGCAGATATAGTGCATTTCCAGCATTTGCTACAGTTTCCCTGGGCCCCTTTGAGTCCATTCTCTCTTCCATTCCTGGCTGTGGTGACTTCTGATCTGTTTTCTGTCACTATAGATTAGTGGAACTTAAAGAGGAACATTTTCACTTTTCTTAAGACATCCTTAGAGTTTGCTTAATTCTGAAAACTGCCAAGAAAATGAGATCAGCAGATGGCATACTGGCTATATCACTGGTCTCCCACAGTTCAAGGTCTCCCCCAGTTCAAGTCCCAGACCTGGTGGCTAAAATCTCACACTGGGCACATGTGCGTGCATGCCCAAAATCCTGAGAGGAGTTTGGAGGAGAAGGATTGCAGCGTGGCCATCTCCCCTGCAGGGTAATTTCTCACTTTCTCTCTCCGTCTCTCTGGTGAGCGCATGCTCCCTATAGCAAGAATCTCTCTAAAAGTAAAGAAAATGAGACTGTAATAGTTATATCATCAGCATCTTTTAAACACTGCAGTCTGTACGTTCAAAATTTGCCTTCTTCTCTACAAGAAAGTCCTGTCTTTAATTAAGAAGAAAAATCTTTTTTTTTAAGAAAAGAATTATTTTATTTTACTGTAGTTTAATTTGACCAAAGATGGGGGGAGAGAGAGAGAGAGAAAGAAAACTTCCAGATCTGGTACTCGAACCATGGTCAGCCATGTGGGACTCCAGTGCCTTTAACCACCACCTTGCCTGTTAGTCCTAAGAAGAAAATCTTGAAAAAGTAGTTTTGACCCCTGCATATCATGAGTCTTTTTTTTTTTCTTTCTTTTTAACAGGTGGTCCTTTGTATATCAGTGGATGTATCTCAAGACTATAACCAAGTAGAGAATGTCATAAAACAAGTAAGAGGTCGGGGTAATTGGAATTAATGTCCTCGCCTTTTGATTGGTTATTACTGATTTGCTATGTGGCTTAGAATTGGCCAGTCTTCCCTATAGGTTTAATAGTTTGTAGATTTGATCTGTGAATAGTTTTTCTTTTTAGCTTACTGCTTGCTCTTATACTTTTTTCTAGGCACAAGAGAAACTGGGTCCAGTGGACATGCTTGTCAACTGTGCAGGAATGTCAGTGCCAGGAAAATTTGAAGAACTCGAAGTTAGCACTTTTGAAGTAAGTAAAAATATTTGCTTACTGAGTAGCGCATACGCTAAAAGTAGAGCAATCCATGGCTGAAGACTTTAAGATTGAGGGACCAGCAGATAGCATAATGGTACGTCACTGGTCTCCCACGTAGTCAACAGCGGTTTGAGTCCTAGACCCAATGACTCAGAACTCATTCCGGGCACGTGTACATACATGCCCAAGATCCTGGGAGGGGACTGGACAAGAAGGGATTACAGTGTGGCCATCCCCCTGGAGTGTGATTTTCTCATTTTCTGTCTCTCTGTCTCTCTGATGAGTGCATGTGCCCTATAATAAAAATCTCTCTCTCCAAAAAAAAAGTACATGAATGTATTCAGATGTTCATGGAAGTTTGAGAAGCCTAGAGGAGGGCTGATCTAGAGGAAGGCTGACCATGGGTTGGTCCTGGTGTCATAACCGCCTAACCTTAAGAGTTTAGGGGCTAGCATATGGCATGGTGGTTAAGATTCTAGATTCTCACATGACCACAACAGTTTCAGTTCTGGCCCCAACAACTTGAAAATCACATCAGATTTTCAAGTCCCATTTATGAAATACTATTGTCTTTGCGTATAACCTACATACATCCTCTTGTACTCTTTATATCATCTCTAGATTACGTGTAGTATGTAAATAGTTAAGCTGTATCGTTCAGGTAATAACAAGAAAAGGAAGAGTCTGTACACATTCGGTATACACAACTAGTTTTTTCCCCCAAATATTTCCAATCTGTAGTTGGTTGAATCCATGGATGTAGAACCCATGGATGTGGAGGACCAACTATTGGGTTGTTGGAAAAGCCATGACCCTTTTTCTATGTAAAGATATGTCTTAACTTTTCTGACAACCCAATATCATATTTAATCAATAATGGCGAGAAAAATTGTGTGTGCCTGTTGAGCATAGAGGTAATCATCACAAGTCCAAGTCATAGGACACATCATGTCCTTAACAGTGTAACAATTTTTGTTCTGCTGTTGGCCGAACCCACTGATGAGAAACCTAAGCATACAAAGGGCTAACTGTATGTCTACACCTGTGAACAAAATCCATTAGAGAAAAGAGTTGTAGTAGTCCAGGCATGAAATATGAAGTAAAGACTTGGGAGGTTGCCAGAAAAAGAGGAGCATGTGTGTGAGCGTGTGTTTGTGTGTGTGTGGTTGTATCTGTGTGCATGTGAGTGTGTGTGCATGTGTGTATAAGATGATATGGAACGAGAATCTCAGACTGAACACAGAGGCTTAAGCAGCTGACAGGCCCCATGTTGCATCTGTGTTGGAAGTGGCCACATCTATCTATATGTGAGAACCAGCTTTCTAAAAAGAAAGGGCTCTTATGCCAAAATCTATTGCCGCTAGATCCGGTGAAAAGGCCTTGTACTAGCGGCTGACCACTGGGGCCTTCTGGTCTCTTTATTCATCTCCCCAATCCTTCACAGTAGGGTTCCATTTCCCCTTAAGGGAGGCAAGAAGCCACCATACTCTGAAGAATGTCACCTTCCGAGGCCATTGTTTCACTCTCTACCATCTCTGCTGTCTCAGTTATATTGTGCTAGTCAATCCCAGTGTGGGGTTTGACTGTTAGAACCTGTTAGAACAAAGGCTTCATTTGGTGCATTTTCTGAATATAGAAGTTCATTTTTATTTCAAATGAGTTCTACCTCACTTATATTTTTGCTTGTTTTAGTTTTACTCTTATCAAAGTCCACATGCACATAAAATGCTTGTCATGATCTTGGCATATATTGCCATAATTCATCACTGGGCCATGGCATATCCCATGGGACTCCCTGGGATAAGGACTGTCCGAAACTTGCTCCTGGTTTCTTCCAGACTTTGCCCTATTGTCTTTTCCCTTTGCTGGTTTTACTTTCTATCCTTCCTCTGAAAGAAATCTTAGTCATCGGTACAACTTTATGGGGAGGACTTTGAGACCATCCTAGTGAGTCACCAGACTTGGGGCTGGGCTTGGGGAACCCAATATAATTCTCTGAATTTACCTTCTTAATGGCTTTCTTTATGGTTTCTTGGTGCTATATCTTCTCTTATCTATGTGGATATAAGGGATAGTTCTTTTAAAGTTTTCTTTTATCTTTGGTATGTGTATTTATTTCATCTAAAAGGCCAGTGTCTCTGAATTTCACATCAGAGACTTTGCCCAGGTGTCTGTGATCCTTGGCCATGTTTTCATATTTAAGAATGGGGCCCTGAAGAGCTGTTTAGGCATTCTGTGCTGCAGTTTGATTATGGGGATTCTGTAGGGTAATTGGGCCATATATTAGGGGGAAGTTTCAATGTCCCTACCTGTAGACCTTGTTTCTTGGTTTGGTCAGAAGCCCTGAGAAGCAGTCTTAGCCTCCCACGTAGAAGATGCGTGTCAATCCGCAGTATCATGAGAGCCAAGTTGGGAAAGAGCTCTGGAGTCTGTTAAGTGTCTAGTTGAATTTTCACTTAAACCTCTCCCTTGATCTGGACATAACTTTCTCTAGAAATTCAGCCTCCAACCTCTTGCCTGATTAGAAGAGAAGGAATCTTCTCCGTGGAAAAGGGAAAGGCATCTAGGATCTGCTTATTTCCCCCTCATTGTCCTACTTTGTTATTCTTAATTGAGGTGAAAATGAACCGATTAAAAAGTGTTTCACAGTATATGCCGTGCACGCACCCTCTCCATTCCGAAACATTTAATCACTCCAGGGAGAATCCTGTACCTAGTAAGCATTTGCTCCCTATTTTTCCCTTTTCTCTACCAACAACCACCGATTTGTATTCTGTGTCTCTGGATATTTCATATAAATGGCATCATGATATGTGCCCATTCGTGTTTGGCTTATCACTCGCATCATGTTTCGAGGTTCATCCGTGTTGTGGCATGTATTAGTGCCTCCTTCCTTTTTAAAGGTCGATGGTATTCCTTGGATGGTTAGACCATATTTGGTGAATCCATTCATCACTGATGAACATGTGACTGCTTCTAAAACAAGCTTTTAGTCCGTTCTCCTGTCTTCCGGTGCTCTCACCCCCGCCCCACAGCCACTCAGTGCTGTCTGAGACTCGGGGGCTTCTGTGGGAATAGTCCTTTCATGTCCGCTTCTCCACCGCTGTTCAGCATTCAGCTGTGTGCGTTCTTCTAGTTAGTTTCCCCTTGCCATTTTGTTCTTCAACTTCCAAATTGTTCTGGTTGATACTTTCTTTGTTCTTATGGGCTCTTGCCTTTACTGACAATGAACTCATGTCTTCAGAGTAAGCCAAAGAGGACATGAGTTCATTGTGCCATCTCTTTTCAGACACTTTCTTAGAATATTTTTATTATCAAAACAATATAATGAGGGGCTGGCAGGGGGTGTGGTGGTCGAGGCACTGGACACTCCCACATGACTGTCTGCGGTTTGGGTCCCCGACCTGGTGGCTTGCTTTCTCACTTTCCCTCTCTCTCCTCTCTGTCTCTTTCTGGTCAAGTTAAAAATACTAATAGCGGGGCCGGCAAATGGTGTGGTGGTTAAAGGCTCTGGACTCCCACATGGCCGACCACGGTTCTAGTCTCGGATCTGGTGGCTTGCTTTCTCACTTCCTCGCTCTCTTCTCTGTCTCTCTCTGATCAAACTGAAAAATAATAATGATATAATAAATAAAGTTAAATAAAATAATTCTTAAAAAAATACTAATAGCAATAATAAAATTACTTAAGTCTTTTTTAAAAATAAAATATATCTAAAAATAACACTCACAGAGACACAAACCCAAACAAACAAACAAACAAACAATATAATGACATTAGAACACATTTTGGGGAAACATGTGAGCCCAACTTCCTTAAAACAATCACAATTTTGTGTATTTCTTTGGTTCTGTCCCTATACAGGTGTACTTTTATTTAATATTTAATATAGTTACAGTCATAGTATACATAGTCCTCCTGCTTTTTTAAACTTATAAATATTTGCCCCTTTCACTCCCAGTGTTTCTGGTTATCATTTTAAAAAGTTACCTAATATTCATTGAATTAATACTTCATGATTAACTTAAAGTTCCATAATTGAAGTGTTTAGTTTTACATGATAATAGAACTAATAATTTACAAGACTTGTAATATAGAATTATCTAATATAAGTATTCTTAGATTTTCAATTTAAAATTTAAGAGTTTTGGGGCCAGTAGATGGCATAATGGTTGCATCGCTGGATTCCCACATAGTAAACTATGGTTGAGTCCCAGACCCGGCAGCTTAAAACTCAAGCCAGACACATATGCATATATGCCCAAGATCCCGAGAGGAGAACGGAAGAGAAGACATTGCAGTGTGGCCATCCCCCCCGGGGAGCTTATTTTCTGCATTCAATGTCTCTGTCTCCCTCTCTCTCTCTTCTCTCTCTCTCTTTCAAAAAAACTCTCTCTCTCTCTCTCTCTCTCGTGCATATGCCCTATAGCAAAAATCTCTCTCTCAAAAAAAAAAAGTATGGGTTTTAACCATTCCTGAGATGAAGGGGAAAATACTCTTATTAGTACCTTTGTCAGCTCATACCCATCGTAACATCACAGCCAACATTCACTGAGTGTTTACTCTCGGCCAGGGGCTATACTAGCACCTAACCTGTGTTTTCTTGGGGGCTGGATAGTAGCACAGCAGAAAATCAATGAATCTAGGGCAAGGTGGGGTGGCAGATGGGCAGCCGGACCCACATGGGAAGGTAATAGGCTTATGTCTGGACACCTCCCTGAGTACATCAGCCAAGTATGTGCCCATGGTCTGGGCTGGCTGAAGGTAGGGTTGAATCACGATTTCAAGACCCTGTTGATCTTGACAGGGTGCTGTTTCTCTTTCTTCTCTCTCTTTGTTTCTCTCTTATGAAAGAAATAAACTTAAGGGAAAAAAAAAAAAAACAGCAAAACTTGTGTTTTCTCTTTTAATTCTTGCAACAGCCTGATGAAGTTGGTCCAATATTAATTGCATTTTCAGCTTAGGAAATGAATAGAATGACTTTCTTATTCATCCTCAAATGAATAGTAAATGGTAGACCCAAGGCTTAAAACTGAAATCCCATCCTACTCTCTGTAGTCTTTAGCTCAGAACAAATAGAGTTGGAAATATTTAGAAACCCTTTCCTACACCTGTCTTTCAAAAAGTATTGACCACAACACACAGTGTGCCTTTTTATTAGGAAAAATACCAATTTTGACCTTTTATTTTGAAACTTTTTGCCATAGGGCACATACGCTCACTGGAAAGAGTCAGAGAGAGAGGAAAGGTGAGAAATCACCCCCAAGAAAGGATGGCCACACTGCAGTCCCTTCTCCTTCACTCTCCTCTTGGGACTTTAGGCACACACACACACATATGCATATGTACATGCTCACATGTACCTGGAATGTTTTTCAAGGTACCAGGTCCGGGACTTGAACCGTTAAGTCAGCCATGTAGAATCCATTTCCTTAACCACCATACTGCCTGCTTGCCCCACTTCTGACCATTTTTAAATAAGGACAAAACTGCTGTTATTGTAGGAATGGAAGCCTGGATTGAAGTAGACTTCAGATGGCCGGTCCTGAGCCTCATGTCTCATGTGTAGCATCATTTAATCATCCAGTCATCCTATAAATCTGTTGCGCCCCCTAATCACTTGGGCTTCCACTGAAGAACTTATGAGAGATCTTAGAAAAGTTCATGGAATATGCATATTATGAGTACTCAGGGAGATCCTGGGACACTAACCCAGGACCTTTCCCACATGGGTCCAGCTGCCATCTGCCACCCCACCTTGCCCTAGACTCATACATTTTTTATTTTTTAGAGAGGTTTTTGCTATAGGGTGTGTGCACTCACCAGAAAGACAGAGAGACAGAAAGACAAAAAGTAAGAAATCACCCCCCCCCAGGGGGGTTGCCATGCCACAATCCCTTCTCCACTCTCCTCTTGGGATCTTGGGCATGTATGCACACGCACCCAGTGTGAGTTTAAGTCACTGGGTCCAGGATTCGAACTGCAGTCACCTATGTGGAAATCCAGCGACATAGCCATTACACCACCTGCTGGTCCTGTAGACTCATACTTTTAATTCTACTCTCACCCAAACTTTTTGAAGATCCCTTACAAATCAAAAGCAGAAAAATTTCCATTAAGTACAGCCATGAGGGTTTTGACCTTTGTCCCCTCTTCACATGGCCTCTTTGTTCCCTGCAGAAATTAATGAGTATTAATTACCTGGGCAGCGTGTACCCCAGCCGGGCGGTGATCACCACCATGAAGGAGCGCCGGGTGGGCAGGATCGTCTTTGTGTCCTCCCAAGCAGGACAGTTGGGGTTATTTGGTTTCACGGCCTACTCTCCATCCAAGTTCGCCATAAGAGGATTGGCTGAAGCATTACAGATGGAGGTAAAAGTTGTTCTCATTTTTGTATTTTTTTCTCAGCAATATCCAATCCTTTCTGGTTTTATAGCTTCTTAACATGTTATTGGATTCGTACACTTGCTATTAGAGGAAAAAAATTGGTGTACGCTTGATATTAGAGAAAAAAAAATCAACTCATCCACCTTAGTTTTGTAGTTAATGTTTTTTATTGCATAAAAATTATGGTTGTGATGGAAGGAAAATGGTTATGGTGTTTTTGCCTGTTTAATACATAAAGGACTATTAATGTATTCATAATGATATTGGTCTAATACTCATGAGAGTGTGTTTTTAAAACTTGGCTCATTTGGATAAGGTGATTGTAGTTTCTCTGCATGAAACCTTAATGATGCTCAAACGCGACATGCTTTGGACAATCCTTTTTGGCTCATTTAACTTTTAAGTCCTCTTGTCTACCTCTCCTTGTCCCAAGCTAAGAGAAGACCCTGGAATTGTCTGTTATAAGTACAACAAGTAATTTTTTTTGGAGAGGTTTTTTTTTTTTTTTTTTTGCTACAGGGCGCATGCGCTCACCAGACAGACAGAGAGAGACATAGAGAGAGAAAGCAAAAAATCCCCCCCCCCCCCAGAGGGAATGGTCACACCGCATTCCCTTCTCCTCCATTCTCCTCTCAGGATCTTGGACACGCACGCACACGCGCCTGGCGTGAGTTTCAAGCCACCGGGGCCGGGACGCGAACCGCGATCGACTACGTGGGAGTCCAGCAACATAGCCATTATGCCAACTGCTGGTTCCCAAGTAATTTTGAGACATCCTTTGTTGTCCTTTATGGAGGGTGTCTTTTTTCTTAGTCTTTCAGGTATAAAAACACATCATTTAAAGCTTTTAAGAGTTAATTTTTTTGGAAAGCAGACTTCTAAGGTGGGTTGTAGCCAAAGATATGATAGCAGAGACCAGGCCAAAAAAGAACAAAAACTAGGCCTCCTTCTCTAATCACAGCACAGCTCTGCTTGTTCCCTCTGTCTCTTCCCACTGTGGTCTGGGATGTCCACTAAGGCTTAAATTCCAGTCTCATGTAAGCAGCTCTGACTTTCTGTTCATGTCTTGGATTTGATGGAGTGAGGACTAGCATATCTTTGGTGGGGTTATTTTGATGATAAATTAGTTTTTGAGTGAACCATTAGTCGGTTGTATTTCTGAGGTGGAAGCTGAGTAGAGGGATAAAATCACCATAGAAAGGGGCCGGGCAGAGTGGGAGGACAGAAAATGGTCAGTCCTCGCAGGGACAAGGAGAGGCAGACTGGCCGAGTCGGCTGGGACATCGGTGCCTGCAGGCCTGACTGGTACGTTCTTAGCAAAGTGGTGTCCTCAGGGAGTCAGCAATAACTCACCGAGAGCAAGGGTAGCCATACCACCCTGACTTCCTTTCTTGAAAGGATTATGAGTGGTAGATTAAAGGGAGGTGTAGGTATAGTTTAATCTATGCACGTTTTAGGAAATTGTTTGACCAAGAGTTTCAAGAGACCAGAAGCTCCATGAGATGAGGAAATGTCTGTTTTGTTCACATCCATTTGCAACATTCTTAGGATGACATACAGTAGTATTTCAAGAAGATATTTGTTAGATGAATAAATAAGAGACTTCATAAATAGCGAAGTTGCTAGTCACTGGAGGCGTCCGGCTATAGACTGGGAGAATCATTTGACTTAATGATTATAGAGGGACTTCCACCCCAGGAAGGGATTGAACTGGTTTTTCTCACCCTCGACAGTCTGTTCCCATCCTGTGAGGAAGCTGTTCTGAAAAACCCTGTTTTAACAAAGTTGGGCAATTCAGTCACTATTTTGAATCCGGGAGGCCGTGCTATGAAATAATTTTGTGCATTAGCTCAGGTGCCGCAATCCCCCGCCAGTGAGGCAGGCCAAGGGGCGGCCCAGAAAAGACAGCGTCTGCGTAGTCGGCTCTGCCAGCACATGAGCTGGCTAATTACCACGTACTGGCTTCTTTGTGGGCTTTTCCTCCGGTCTGTGCACAACAGAGGGCAAGGCTGTGGGAGACAAGTTCTTAAAGTCACGATCTCGAAAACGAGTGGAGAGAACTTGCTTGCTCATCAGCCTCACTGCCTGGCTCCAGTCCAGAGCTATTTTTGAGTACAGCTGAGCCATGGCACTGCCTGCCCTGTTGGTGCCGAGTGATGAACTCTCTCACTCCCTCATTGTGTTGGAGCATAACCAACAAAGACATTTCCCTTTCGCTATTGCACTTTCCGGGATGGCTGGCCAGGACCCTCTGGGGCTTCCCTGTCTCTCCAGCTTCACACACAGGCTTCAGGACTGTGCTTTTCCGAGGGCACCAGAGAGAAAAGGGGCCATAGGGTGGGACCGGACCCTGGGATCCCCTTATAGTCTGTTGCATTAGGCAGTGGTAGGTGTTATTTTTCAGCCTAGAGTACCCTCTTTAAGATTTGCAGTGGCTGACCTATCAGCTGCCTCTCTATTTCCAAATTCCCTGAGTGTTTGCCTGGAGACTGAGAAAGGCACAAGTACAGATCATGGCCGAGAGATTTAGCTGGTATGAACCATGCATCATCATCACCCTTCGAGGTGCTAATGGCAAGGCAAAGGAGGAACGTGCCACAGTCTTGGGCTGACCTATAGAAGGATCTATTGGAGGCTGTTCATGAGAGGGGGAGTCAAGTGTGGAGGCGTAGTAGGGAGGACAACCCTAAGAACCTGTTCTCAGTAGCAGAGGAACGACAGTTGGAAGTAAGACAAAGGAGTTGTGAAGAGAAGCGGGGGAGGAGTCTCTGTGGAAATACAGGGTGAGGTTCTCCATAGGAGAGGTACCTGCTGAGCTGCCTGCGGTGGGGGGTGGTGGGGAGCCACCGTGGGAAAATGTTGTCTGTAAGTTCTGCGGAGGTGGCCTGACCTAAGGCATGGGCTGGTGGACTGGGTGATCTTGACTAAGTGAACTTATCAGGAATGGATGCAGTTCTAGATCTGTGTCTACTTGCATAAGAAGGGCACAGGGCAAGAGAGTCTAATGATCCCAACCTGTTGTGTAGATGAAATAAAAAGCAACCCATAGGGAAAACAAACCGGGAGAAGACCTACCCAACTGCTTTGATAGAGTAGTTGAATGTTGTGCAGTATCAGGGAGGAGAAGACTTTTTTTTCTTTTCCCTTAAGCACTGTTGGCTGTCCTTAGAACAAAAACTAGGCCTCCTTCTCTAATCACAGCACAGCTCTGCTTGTTCCCTCTGTCTCTTCCCACTGTGGTCTGGGATGTCCACTAAGGCTTAAATTCCAGTCTCATGTAAGCAGCTCTGACTTTCTGTTCATGTCTTGGATTTGATGGAGTGAGGACTAGCATATCTTTGGTGGGGTTATTTTGATGATAAATTAGTTTTTGAGTGAACCATTAGTCGGTTGTATTTCTGAGGTGGAAGCTGAGTAGAGGGATAAAATCACCATAGAAAGGGGCCGGGCAGAGTGGGAGGACAGAAAATGGTCAGTCCTCGCAGGGACAAGGAGAGGCAGACTGGCCGAGTCGGCTGGGACATCGGTGCCTGCAGGCCTGACTGGTACGTTCTTAGCAAAGTGGTGTCCTCAGGGAGTCAGCAATAACTCACCGAGAGCAAGGGTAGCCATACCACCCTGACTTCCTTTCTTGAAAGGATTATGAGTGGTAGATTAAAGGGAGGTGTAGGTATAGTTTAATCTATGCACGTTTTAGGAAATTGTTTGACCAAGAGTTTCAAGAGACCAGAAGCTCCATGAGATGAGGAAATGTCTGTTTTGTTCACATCCATTTGCAACATTCTTAGGATGACATACAGTAGTATTTCAAGAAGATATTTGTTAGATGAATAAATAAGAGACTTCATAAATAGCGAAGTTGCTAGTCACTGGAGGCGTCCGGCTATAGACTGGGAGAATCATTTGACTTAATGATTATAGAGGGACTTCCACCCCAGGAAGGGATTGAACTGGTTTTTCTCACCCTCGACAGTCTGTTCCCATCCTGTGAGGAAGCTGTTCTGAAAAACCCTGTTTTAACAAAGTTGGGCAATTCAGTCACTATTTTGAATCCGGGAGGCCGTGCTATGAAATAATTTTGTGCATTAGCTCAGGTGCCGCAATCCCCCGCCAGTGAGGCAGGCCAAGGGGCGGCCCAGAAAAGACAGCGTCTGCGTAGTCGGCTCTGCCAGCACATGAGCTGGCTAATTACCACGTACTGGCTTCTTTGTGGGCTTTTCCTCCGGTCTGTGCACAACAGAGGGCAAGGCTGTGGGAGACAAGTTCTTAAAGTCACGATCTCGAAAACGAGTGGAGAGAACTTTCTTGCTCATCAGCCTCACTGCCTGGCTCCAGTCCAGAGCTATTTTTGAGTACAGCTGAGCCATGGCACTGCCTGCCCTGTTGGTGCCGAGTGATGAACTCTCTCACTCCCTCATTGTGTTGGAGCATAACCAACAAAGACATTTCCCTTTCGCTATTGCACTTTCCGGGATGGCTGGCCAGGACCCTCTGGGGCTTCCCTGTCTCTCCAGCTTCACACACAGGCTTCAGGACTGTGCTTTTCCGAGGGCACCAGAGAGAAAAGGGGCCATAGGGTGGGACCGGACCCTGGGATCCCCTTATAGTCTGTTGCATTAGGCAGTGGTAGGTGTTATTTTTCAGCCTAGAGTACCCTCTTTAAGATTTGCAGTGGCTGACCTATCAGCTGCCTCTCTATTTCCAAATTCCCTGAGTGTTTGCCTGGAGACTGAGAAAGGCACAAGTACAGATCATGGCCGAGAGATTTAGCTGGTATGAACCATGCATCATCATCACCCTTCGAGGTGCTAATGGCAAGGCAAAGGAGGAACGTGCCACAGTCTTGGGCTGACCTATAGAAGGATCTATTGGAGGCTGTTCATGAGAGGGGGAGTCAAGTGTGGAGGCGTAGTAGGGAGGACAACCCTAAGAACCTGTTCTCAGTAGCAGAGGAACGACAGTTGGAAGTAAGACAAAGGAGTTGTGAAGAGAAGCGGGGGAGGAGTCTCTGTGGAAATACAGGGTGAGGTTCTCCATAGGAGAGGTACCTGCTGAGCTGCCTGCGGTGGGGGGTGGTGGGGAGCCACCGTGGGAAAATGTTGTCTGTAAGTTCTGCGGAGGTGGCCTGACCTAAGGCATGGGCTGGTGGACTGGGTGATCTTGACTAAGTGAACTTATCAGGAATGGATGCAGTTCTAGATCTGTGTCTACTTGCATAAGAAGGGCACAGGGCAAGAGAGTCTAATGATCCCAACCTGTTGTGTAGATGAAATAAAAAGCAACCCATAGGGAAAACAAACCGGGAGAAGACCTACCCAACTGCTTTGATAGAGTAGTTGAATGTTGTGCAGTATCAGGGAGGAGAAGACTTTTTTTTCTTTTCCCTTAAGCACTGTTGGCTGTCCTTAGCACTAAGGGCCCTTGCCTGGTCAGTGGAAGGGGAAGAAACTGAGAAGGAGATGAGGTGCCATGCTTGAGGATCAGCTGTGTTCTGGAGTAGTGGTCAGGATGAGCTCCCCTTTCATTTCTGAGTCACTTCATGAAACGAGTTTCCCAGTGCAGTGGATGATTGTTCTCCACTTAACACAATTACCCTGTTGGTCTCACCACTTCTGAGAATCAGGGTAGCCATTGCCGGCTGGTAACGTAGGATACAGAATTAATCGTGTCTTATTTACTGAAGGTGGAAATGTTTCCCAAATGCAGGTGAAGCCATATAATGTCTACGTCACAGTTGCCTACCCACCGGACACAGATACCCCTGGGTTTGCTGAAGAAAACAAAATGAAGGTCAGTATTTCTGCATGGCTCATGTTGAGTAACTAATGTCATTAACCTCCTTTCTGATTGTCTTTCTTCTTATTTTCATTCGTTGATAACGTGTATTAAGTGTCTGTAGGTGCTGAGCTGGTACCCGACGACCTCCCTGAACTTCTCCGGCAAATATGCTGTCTTTCCCTCCTCTCTTTGCCTAGCCTCTTTACTTTCTTTTTTTTTTTTTAATTTTTCTTTTATTATTATTGTTTTTAACTTTATTTATTTATTTGTTTTAATTTGGCCAGAGAGGGACAGAGCGAAAGAGTGAGAGAGAGACAGAGAGGAGGAAGTGAAAAAGCAAGCCTAGCCTCTTTTCTTAAAACTTAATTTAAATTTCTTTCAAAGTACCATGGCACATAGTTTTAGAGGTATTGCATCACTCCTTTAGCTTTCTTTCCCTGTCCAGATTTCTGCTCCTCAGAGGTAGCCCCCTGTTTTTTTAGAAAGAGATTTTTGCTATAGGGTGTATGCACTCACCAGAGACACAGAAAGCAAGAAATCACCCCCAGGGAGGATGGTCATGCCACAGTCCCTTCTCCTCCATCCTACTCTTGGGATTTTGGACATGCATGTACTCATGACACCATAAGTTTCAAGTTGCTGGGTCCAGAACTGCAACTGCAGCAGACTATGTGGGAATCCAGTGACATAACCATTATGCCATCTGGTGGTCCTGACAACCACCTTTTTTTAACTAACATGTTGATAGTACTATTTTTATGGATTTTTTTTTTTAAGATGTAGAGATTACTGGGGCCAGCAGGTAGCATAGTAGCTAAGGTGCGTGCCTCCCACGTGGCTGACTACAGTTTGAGTCTCAGACTCAGTGGCTTGAAAATCACGCTGGGCACATGTGCACATGTGCCCAAAATCCTAAAAGGAGAAGGGATGAGAAGGGATTGTGATGTGGCCATCCCTCCTGTGGGATCCCTCCTGTGGGATGGCCACATCATTTCTCACTTTTCCTCTTCCAGAATATCTCTGTCTTTCTGGTATGCATACACACCCTATGACAACAACTTCTAAAAATGTTTTAGAAATGATTTGTTGATGCTCCACTGTGGAAGATAAAATCTAAGGCTCTTATCTTTTCCCCACTCTCTAGGTGTTTCCCCTTCTCTTCAGTGAAATCAGATTCAATATTTATGTTAATATGATTTCATAAAATTGTTCATACCTGAGCCTTTCTAAAGACATTGTCTTTCCTGCCTTTTTCTTTGCTTAGCTTTGTTTGTATCTTAAACTCACTCAATCCTGGATACAGATGGAATTGAAAACCTCCTTTTGATCCATGTGAACACATGGAATGTTCTGTAGTTTTACTCATTTCCTCAAAAACATATCTCCTAGAGCCTTCCAACCTCCTGGGCCAGTCCAGATTTGCCACACAGTGGTGGTCCCAGTACTTCTCTTCACTGTAGAACTGCAAACTGCAG